TGATTCTTCCCCTGAAAATTTTGGCAATCTCTCCCCAACTCTCTTCACCATTTCTTCTGGGTATGATCCTGACTTCAGAGGCTCCAAATACCTTCATCATTCATTGTTTTTTTTAATGAATAATTAATTAATTAATTATATGATTAAGGGGCTAATTAAAACAACATTAACGAAATATTAATGAAGAATCAAACCTACCAGTCATATGTGAAAGCAAGGGCCCTTGATGCTGCATCTTTGTCTGCCTTAGAATCTGATATTGGAACTTGCCATCCACTGTTCAGCACTATTCCAATCTTTCCCTTTTGTGAACCCTACAAATTAAATTGCAATGTAATATGAATGATATACCACATTTTTTAGATTTTGTGCAATGCACAGAGTTAGAAGACTTGCTTTTATATATATATGCTATGGATTATATCAAATTGAAAGTCCTTTTTTAAAAAATAAAAGTATCAACGAATTGAAAATATATATTATGTTCGATTCACATATCATATGGTGCGTGACTCATGAATGAAATATATAACTATTTTGTTAGAATTGGTGTAACCTGGTACTTTTGTTTGTAGAGGGAGGCCGCTGCGGCATGAGCAAGGAGGAGATGGTGGGAGACAATGTAGGGCTCAGTGCTGGAATTGCCAGCAGTGCATTTAGGGGGAAGCCAACTGGAGCATCTTCCAGGTGCAAATATGCCATGTTCATACCCTTGTGTGCTGAATGTGAGTGGCTCATTTATGGTTGCCCACATCTTCACTTTCTCCCCAAATTCTTTGAAGCACACTTCTGCATACTCCTTGAAATCATTCCTACACCATCCCACATATATAGTTCACATTTCATTTAACTGATCTAGGCATTAGGTTAAGTTAGTTGTTCATGCACTTTTCAGTGTTCTATATTACTAAACTAAATTCGAATGACACCAAGTATTAAATGAGGAGAGCTTCTCTTAGCAAGATCTTTTTCTTCTATTCACAAGACTTTGAACTTGAAACTTCAATTATCGGTTTTATCTCAGGTTGTTTTCAAATGGCCTAGCACTTTTGCATAGTCCTTAAAATCATTCTTATATGCCCCAACATATTTCACATATAATTTAATTGATCTAGGCATAGGTCAAGTTGTTCATGTACTTTTCATGTTCTTTTCAATATTCTATACTACTGAACTAGATTCGAGTCGCATCAGGCATTAAATGAGGAATGATTCTTTTAATTAACAAGATTTTTCTCTTACATTCATGAGACTTGAACTCAAAACTTTAATTATTTGAAGGGTTTTAAGTCTCTTTCACTTAACTCAACTATTATCGATTTTATCTTAGGATGTTTTTACATTGCATGTGTTCGTGATGAAAGTGAAATTCAATAAATAATTAGTTCTTACACGATCTTAGGGCTTAGAAATCCACCATATTCATCTTCAAGGGATTGAGGAACATCCCAATGGAATAGAGTTGCAAGGGGCTCCAAACCTGTGTTTATAGCAATACCAAAATTAAACTAATGACACCTCATCATTAATCATACTTAGCTTGTGTTAAAATTTTCTCTTTATTGTGTGAGAGAGAGAGAGAGAGAGAGAGACCATTTGATTTAATTTCATTGATAAGGTCATTGTAATATGCAATGCCTTCCTTGTTTACTCCTCCCTTTAGGTTTCCCCCTGACATGAATGTAACACAACTTCTGTAATTAGTTTTAATTTAATTTATCTAAAAAATATAATGTTTTGATAAATATACAGAAACCGAGATTAGATAGTAATTAATAAATTTAAAATGATTACTTAAGTTCAGAATATTTCCCACCAGGTAGTATTCTGTTCCAGGAGATGGAGAATCTGTATGCGTTGAATCCTATGTCCTTCAATAACTTCACATCCTCCTGCAAAAGTGTTAATTAATTTCCTCAGTTTCTTATCATAATTGACAAATAATTAATTATATGAGATTAAGTTTTCATATTAATTAATGCAAGACAATTAATTAAGTACCTTGTAGTGGTGGTATGAATCATCAGCAATATCTCCAGTACTAGCGTTCTTTATCTTATCTGATGCAAGTCAACATGTCTTAATCTCAAAATTAATTAAATCATTATATATGCTAAGAACTTACTAATTCGTTTATATGGAAGTTTTAACTGAATTTGCAGGCAGTACATATTTATTCAAACTAAAACTCAAAGGAAATGATCTCAATTATCTCATATATATATATATATATATATATATTTCATGATTTTATATCCTGGTTTGTTTTATGTGTTGGGTAATAGTTTACAAAAACGAAATAACAATCAACCTGGAAAAATAAATCTCTCTCTTCTGTGCTTCGATGATTTTTTGAGGAAATGAAAAAAAACCATGTCCTAAAATATTCTAAAACAAATTATATGACAATGAAACACTCCATTTGACCATAATAAGACATTGATAATTATTTTACAGTTCTAAAGGAAATTAATTAAAACATTAATCTCTTAAAAAATTATACAGCTTTTCAATTATACCCTTAATAAACATCTTATATAAATGTTTTAAAAATTAAAATTAAAATTTTAATGCATTAATTTTTCAAAAAGAGTAATAAATGAAATAGAAGTATAGTTAAAAAAATAATTATAAAAATTATTTAATACCTTATATTTTAAATTAAGTAGAACTTTTAAAAAATGTAAATGCCAATACAGCTATACTAAAGTCCAGAGGGATATTCATTAATGAATTGGCCTAGTTAATAATAATTTAATTAATAACTAATCCCGTTGCCAGTGGTGGAGCAACATGTAAGTGAGTGGAGTATGCCCCCTTACTTTGAGAAAAATATGCGTTAGGGTTATGAGCTTTTTTTTAATCTCTTATCTTGACATTTAAAACTTTAAACTCATTTGAATGTTAAATATCAATAAGTTAATTGTTCAATAATTCAAAACATAGAAATATTACAGTAAAGAATTTATAAAGTAGGTAATTTTTTTATCAATTTTTAATTATTATTATTATTTTTTCAAAATTGCCCCTTTTGATTCAAGATGCTGTCTCCACCAATATCTGCTATTGATATAAGAATTTCATTAATGAATGATTGATTTGTTAGTATTTTTATAAATATTTCTTGAACCTGGAGATATCCTTAACCCTGTAGCCTAAATTAACTTGCCTAAACTTTCTCATCATAAAAGAAAGCCAATGAGAAACACAGAAAAAGGTTTTTAATTAATTACTTGGCTGTTGAACGAAGGTGTCCCATATGCTAGGGGTTCTGCCTCCTTCCTTTGTAGCACCTTCAACCTTAATTCGCACAATAAATTAATTAATATTAATCTTCATTTCATTTAATTAATCCGTAGATGCAAACAATTATTAGGAATTAATAATGAACGAAACCTGGTAAGCAGAAGTAGCAGCTCCGAATAAGAAATCCTCTGGAAAATCGCTACGTTTAACAGAAGTCTTGGATTCAACAACCGCAATAAAGAAGAAAAACAACAGAAGAAGAAGAAGAATGATCCCAGATTTCATATCTCTTAACAATTTTGTTTCGTCAAAGGAAAAAAAAATTAATCGATTTGTCGGATGCAAATGGAAATTTTATTTATAGTAATGTAATTATTGTTTGTGTGTTCAAGGGTTTGAGAAAAACTTGGGAACTAGGAACCTACTTATCAACCACATGTCTTTTTTTTCTAAGTTTGAGTGTTTGTTTTAAAGGGAGACCGGTGTGATTTATTTAGATTTTCTTTGAATGATTTGGATTTTTTTCAATTTCTTAATTACAATTATTCTTATTTTTTATTACAATAAATTGAAAAAAGGTGGAGAGAGGTATGTGATATTCTTATTTAGATTTGCTTTAAATTATTTGGATTTGGATATTCTCATTTCTTAATGTCTGAAAAGAAAACTGATACCATTGTCATAAACGGAAGCAAACCTCTGCAGACAAATGTCACGTAATAAGTTGAAATTCTTTTTTTTTGCAAGTGTCAAAAGGATTGAAGGCCCAAAAAAAACCACCAAATGGATAAACTGTTGTGGTTGTTTAATATGACATGATGATTAGCCCATGATATTCCTTTTTGTTTTTTGGGCCAAAAGCCCATGACCTATATCATCAAGGGAAACTTGTAAGTAAAGACCTGCTAAAGTTTGTAATTGCAATTTAGGATCGTGTAATAGTGAAATTCAATGTAAAGATTATGGTCTTTCTTTGCAATTAAAAAAAAAAGAAAAATTAATCTGTTGATCCTTGAAGTTTTGATACAGTTAAAACTTGATCTTTTAATTATGACACGATATAACTTAATCTTTTAACTTTTAACTCACATATAGCACAATTTCTAAATTTTTCATTATTTATAATATTATCCTTATCATCCATAACTCATTATGAGCTAGCAGAGTCATCCTACACAGCAAAAAAATGTCAACATAACACCTGTTAAAAAAGTTTATAATATTATCCTTCTCTCTCTCCCCCCATTTAGCAATTTTTCAAGAGTGTTATATAGACATTTTTTTGCCATGTAGGATGACTTAGCTAACTCATAATGAGTTATGGATGATAAGGATAATATTATAAATGAATATATGTAAGTTAAAAGTTAGAGTACTTAATTGCATTAAGTCATAATTGAGGAACTGAATTTTAATTAAGTTAAAATTTTAAAGACTAAAATTAATTTTCTCTTAAAAAAAATTTGTCTCCGACTAAGATACCCCTAATGTTTGGTTAGGAAATAACTGACAGACTTGAAAAAAATTTTAGGTTCTAAACCTGTGATTTAGTCCAAGCATACTATTTTTCTTTTTAATTTTCATGTCGCTTCTAATGAGGACATTGGAATTGGGTGAAAATTTCTTAATACTTACCTAGAAAATAACACTAACTAGCTTGAAAAATATTTAACTTGACTTGTTAATTAGTCTCAGTGTCCCAATTTTGTAACATTGTAAGAAAAAGAAAGAAAGAAATAACATAATCTCTGAAGCATCCATTAGACTGATAAACTCATAATCATATAAAATTCAATTTTTTTTTGGGTCCTTTGACCCATGGAAACCCAAAGCAAGCTTAATTTAACATTCATGTTTGACAAACAAAAGTTAACTCAACACTAGTTTTATTTTCAGTGACAAATTTATGAAAAAGACTGTGATCAAGCAATTGAGCCCTCAAGTTATTTCTCTTTTGCAGCAATTTCCTTCAGTAGTGATGAGGATCATTCCATTGATGGAGAAAAGTTTTGAACCACCAAGCTGATCGTTTATGATATCTTTTCAATCCATTCTTGAAATCCACAAAAATTAGTCCAAATCGAACAGTGTATCCATCAATCCACTCAAAATTGTCAAGCAAGGACCACATAAAGTAGCCCTTAACCTTCACCCCATTCCTACAAAATCCAAATAAATCTCCAGAACTTGTGTATGTTGAATCCTTAGATTTGGAACCTTCACAACTAAAATGCACATCTCTGCAAAAGAACTTACCTCATGGCCCTTTGGATATAGAGAAGGTGATGACTGACATAATCTATTCTAATCTTATCATCAAGTGACTTTCTACCATCATTAATTTCATCAACTCCTGCAAATGTTTGAAGAAATATGGATTATGAAGAAGAGAGCAAGCAATATGATTATGACATTTTTAAGATTCCATGAAGTTGAATTGGTTACCATTTTCTGTTATGTAAATGACTGGATTGTTAAATTTCTCCTTAATGTATTGTAATAGATATTGAATTCCTGGTGGATAGATGTAGAGCCATTGGGAACCAGCCTGCAATGTTACGTAGCAAAATTTTCCTTTGCATCAGTAATTTGACGGAATTAATCCTTTAAGGTTAGCAAGTGAATACCAACCCAAATACTAGGCGGTTCAAAACCTAAGGTTTGGGCTAAGAAAACTAACATGCAGCTCAAGTGATGATTGTAAAGGTCGGAGGGAAATTGAGGGCGCATGTGGTCCCCACTGGGAAACCAAACATGCATTTAGACACTAAGGAGATTCGTTAGGATCAATGTGAGACTTCTCATTGTCTGTCTGTACTTGATCCTAATAATGATTATTAATGAGTATTTCTTTAGAAGTGTTTTCAACTTTTTATCGCAGAATAGCTTTTCGTTTTAAGGAGAAATTATAATTCTTATTTCCCTCTTACGATGAAAAAAAATTTTTTTCTGGGATTTTTAAAACTGATTTTGTCTTAAATAAATACACACAAAAACTTAAAACAAAAAACGTCTTTTATGTAGTTTTTTCTTCTTTTTCACAGCTAAGTCAATAGGTTCCCCCTGTCAATCACTTGAGCATCTAAAATCAGAGAGAAGGAAGTACCTTTGGACCAATGAGAAGTCCATTTCTCTCAGCTGATGGAACAGAAGAAATGAAAAGTAAGCAAATACACATATTAAGACCAAAGAAAAATATAAAAAAGCAACTGACTAGAGATTTGGACCAGACTAAAAAACAAAAGGTCAGCAAATGTACAAGACAAACTTGGGAAAAGTGAAGAATGAAAGTATGCATAAGATCTTGTATTTGTGTAGCTTACGGGTAGCATTTATGCAGGCATCTGTCAACGAAGTTTGATTTTCTCTTTGGCAAGGAGCACTGGATACATAATATGTTGTGTAATAATTCAACCCTATAAAATCAAAGGACCCTTTAACTAGCAAGGATTGCCCATTTGAAAATTTTGGCAAACGTTCGCCCACATTGCTAACCATTACTGCTGGGTAATTTCCAGAGTTCAGCGGTTCCATGAACCTTGCGAAGCATGAAAGGATCAAAGTGAGGACCTTGCTAATATAAGGCATTGTCAATATCTCAGCACGACTTTAAGACATAAGAAAAAACTATTAGGTATGAAGAACTGTTAAGAAGCTTTACTGCCAGAAATTGTGCTAGCACAGAAGTTTAAACTGATGAAGCATTTTCACATATGAGATACACTTACCAGTCATACATGAAAGCTAAGGCCCGAGATGCTGCATCTTTGTCAGCATTTGATTGGGATGTTGGAATAAACCAGAGGGAATTTAGAGCTACCCCAATTTGACCCTTTTGAGAAATCCATTGTATGCAAAGATCATGAACAGTCAAATTTGAAACAAATACAATTTAAGTGCTTCTGAGTTCAAATAATGTTGAAAAATAATTTTTCAGAAACCTGGTACTTCTCTCTATAGATTTTGACTGCTTCAGCATGAGCAAGGGTCTGGTAGTGTGAAACAAGGTAGGGCTCAGTGCTAGAGTCACCGGCACTGCAGTTTAGGCCCAGGAACTTAGAGCACCTTCCAGGGGGAAATGCGCCGATGGCATAACCCATGTAGCTATATTGCATTGGCTCATTTAAAGTGATCCAATGCTTTACCCTGTCACCAAATTCTCTAAAGCACAGTTCTGCATAATCTGCAAAATCCTTCCTGTTTGAAAAATCCAAAGGGGAATATTTTCAAACACTTGGAAGGCAATATGAAGGAATGGTCCATCCACTCTTGAGGGAATATGATAGCACCAATGTGATTAATTGTTGTTTTGGTTAGTTTGCTTGATACTCACACAATTTTGGGGCTCAGGAAACCACCATATTCATCTTCAAGAGCTTGGGGAAGGTCCCAGTGAAACAAAGTCACAAAGGGCTGCAATCCTGTAAATGCAAGGCACAAAAAATCAAATGTAACTTAATTTGTTTGATTCCCAAATCCCAATATCATGAATGAAAGCTGTTCCTGAGCTAACCATAGGATAGGAGTTCATCGATGAGATTGTTGTAATAGTTGATGCCTTCTGAGTTCACTCCTCCCTTCAGATTTCCATCTAAAACATAAATTTGAAGTATGAATTTAATCGAATCATTGAAGAAAATAATCGGAGGATGAGAAAGTATTTCTCACAGGGTAGGATTCTGGGCCAAGAGATGGAAAATCTGTAGGCATTAAACCCAATATCCTTCATTATGGCTACATCTTCCTAAGAAAGTTTTGGATGGGTGAACAGTGTTAGAAATCTTGATGGAAAATGAAGTTCATAAGCTAGTGAGAATCATAAAACAAATAAAGAGAAGGGGAGTACCTTGTACCGATGGTATTGATCAGTAGCAATATCCCCATTACTGCGATCAGCTATCTTTTCTGAAAGATTTAGGCATAATTGTATAAAGCCAGCTCTTTCTAAATGTGTAGCGTGAAGAAACTCGTGTTACAAACTTTATGTGAATCTGCACAGTCTTGCTTACTGACGTGTGTGCTAAGTTATCCGGCATTCAGATTCAGAGGACGAAATGCATGGTAGTCAACTTTAAAACGATGTGGTTTTCATGTTTAATATGTGTGTTTGTGTGGGGAAAACGAACAAATTCACCTCTAAATTATAGGCGTACAAGCATATGAGATCCTAAACTTATCTTTTATATAATATTTCTCTTCAACTTTTGAAAACAGTATAATCTAATTTGAACCATTAATAATAGTCAATTTTAATTGTTAGTTGATTAAAAAATAATAAAAAAGAATCTCAAAAATTAAAAATAAAACCTAAAAATTATAGTAAAGAATCCAAAAATTATAGATAAGGATTAAAAAAAATTTAAAAAAAGGACTAATATTTTTTTTGTTTCTTTTTTGTAATTTTTAAAGTTCTTTTTTTCATTTTCTAATTAATTAATGATCAAAATTAACTTTTGTTAATGATTGGATCATCTTACATCTTTTTCAAAAGTTGGAGGGGCATATTGTACAAAAAAATGAATTTAGAATTTCAAACACTTTTGAACATACAATTTAATAATAAATTTGCTCATTTACACACACATGTATTACCCCAAATTCAGATCCTACTGTATGCAAGGCCCAGATTTTAAAACATTAACAGCATAAAAAATTTCATAATAATCATAAAATCAATTTATAGCACAAGATATATTGAGAGCATATTATTTTTTTAAAATTAAAAGATACTTTACCAAATTAAGATTGGTTTTTAACATGATTATGTGATTGAGTTAGATTAAGCATTGTTTGATCCAATTGAAAATAGCTTTTCTAAGGTTATGTTTAAACGATTATAACCCTTTCTGTTAAGATTAACGGCTAATAGTCAACATTAAAATTGACATAAGAAAGATGAAAATGAGAATTAAAAGTACCTGGGAATTTATGGGTGAAAGTGTCCCAAACACTTAGGCCTTTCCCTCCTTCATATGCTGCACCTTCATACTTCATATCATAACATATGTCAAGTTATCAACACCAGTCACGCCATTGATTAAGAAATTAAATCTCAGCCACACAACCACACACACACACGAACAAGAAATTATTGTGAGTGTGTAGATGAATGTATATTGAAGGAATATGTAAACCAACCTGGTACGAAGACGAGGAAGTGCCGAAAGTGAAATCTGGGGGAAAACTGGAGGGATCAACACAACCTACTGTGTCTAACAGTGCAATATTAATGGAGATGACAAGCAGAAGAAGAAGAAGATGATGACAGTACTTATTCCACATATTCTGTGTGTTTAATTTGATATTAATTTTTAATTTTCACTTACAAAACAATTTGATCATATCATCCTTCTTTCATTTATAAAGCCTAATGCTCAAACCTTGATGACGAGATCTCAGAGCGGTTTTGACGTTTTTCTCTGCAAAACCTTCTTCTCCATAGCATATTGCCGTTTCTCTCTTTTTTAGAGTTTTTTTATTATCATTTTCTTAGTTCAACTTGCATTCAAGTGCTCAAGCAACCTCTATATAATATATATATGTATATATATATTAGATTTAATTCTCTCCTCTTTTAATAAGCATAAGAAGTAGGTTTTGCGGATGGTAGGAATTATTTTTCTGAGATACTATAAGCAAATAGTAGACATTCCTCAACTATATTGTTACATGCACAAGAGTTATAGTTCGAACTTCTAATCATTTGTTTAAATAACAAGAACCGCCAACTTTAGTCAGTAACTGTTTTATTTTTTTTAAGATTAAAACTTGTTATACTTGAACATTAAATATTTAGAGAAAGTATAATATTAAAATACCCATATATAATATTATAGTACATATAATATTAAGGAAAAATTAATCCCCCCATCCTTATAGTTTTATTGAGTTTTTAACCAGGTCTTTATAGTTTTTTTTTCTTTTTATTAAGTTCTTTAAATTTTTTCCGTTACACCAGTTAATCCTTTTAATTTAAAATCATTAATTAGTGCTAATAGTGTCAAAATTTTCGTTAAATAATCATGATGCGGCAGCAATCTTGTGGGCATTTTTTTACAAGTGGGATCAGATGAAAAATATATGCCACGTATGAAAATCAATTTTCTGAGAAAACGGCCTTGCGCTCTTCTCCTTCAATCGCTAGGACTCGAGCGGGCAGAGCATCGAAGAGAGGAGGAGAAGGGAGATGTGGTTCGGCAGAGTTGTAGAGGGGGAGGCCAAGTTTGCCAGGGTGGGTACGCATATCAGAGAAGAGAGGATGAGGAGGGAAGGTGGTTTGGCAGAGCCACAAAGGGAGACGTCAAGTTCGCGAGTGTTCAAGTATGTAGAGAAGAGAGGAGAAGGGAAGATGGTTTGGTAGAGATGCTGCCATGGAGGAATCAGTTGACGGTAAGAGCTCTTGTGGTGAGCCTTTTGCTGAGCGTGTTGTTTAGTGTCATAGTAATGAAATTGAATCTCACCACTGGAATTATGCATTCCCTTAATGTCTCTGCCGGCCTTCTGGGTTTTTTCTTCATCAAAACTTAGACCAAGTTCTTGGATAAATTTGGCATGTTGAGGTAGCTGTTTACGAGACAAGAGAATCTGTTTAATTTGGGTTTCTTCCCTCAATGTCGCTTCCTTTGGCACAGCCTTTAGTGGTACCTTCTCTAACTCTATGCTTGTTACTTGCAGAATTATAAGCTTAAATGTGTTAAATCTAGAAACTATGCTTCTTTACTGTGAAAATTAATCTCAATTTAAGATCTAGATGGGTATGCTTTTTAAGTGGCAATTTCCTTCTTCATCATCAAATTCGTATTTGGATCTGTACCTTATTGAAGTGACAATTTCCTTCTCCATTTTAGGAATTGAAATTTACAGCATTCATAGAAGATTTGCATAGATTCAGATTCCTTTGATTTCTCAATTTTTCTTTTCCTTCTCGAGTAGGTTCTTCACATTTGTTAGTTAAAGGTAGATGTTAATAAAGTGTCATTATACATTGATTCAATGATAGATTCCTTAAATCTTCATCAACTAAATCTGTGTGGTGCTTTATCTCCTTGCATCTGTAACCAAAAATTCATTTTTGTTTGCAAGTGGAATTAGTATTTTGGTTATTTGATTCTTGCAATTATGCTTATTCTGTGAAAATTTGATAGTTGGATGACTATTCTGATCCTTTGAATATTGTTTTGGTTAGTTTCTTTCAGGAACATTTTAGATGATAGAAGAAATTCTAATGTAAAGAGTGAGCTGGTTTTGAAGATTCGCATGGTTTGCTTGCTGCATATGCTTTTGTAACTTGGGAAGAATTGAAGAACTAGGCTTCTGGCTTGTTGCTGTTGCTCAGGACTTTAGGATTTTTAGTCTGAACATTTGGAAGTTTTATTTGCTGCTGTTGTTCAGGACTTTAGGATTGTTAGCTTGCTGCTGCTGCTGTTCATTTCTGCTGCCTTGTTTAAAGTGTATGGCAGACTGTTTTTAGCACTATGTTTCTGCTTTTGTATGGTAGACTGTTTCTGCTGCTCCTATCTTGTAACTTCTTGCGAAGTGGCATGTAAACCACTATGTTTAAGAATTGATGTAAAAAATTGATATTGAATGGTAACAAGGATATGTCATTATCCTACTTTATATTCTTGTAATGTAATGTACTATTTTATTGAATGGTCAAAAGTTGTTATTACCATGTTCTCTCTATCACAGGACAAAAATTTGCCAACTTAGAAAATTGTCACCCCTTCTAGTTTCTTCATTGATTAGTACAAGCTTATAGTGAATTCTCACAACTTGATAATATTACCTTAGAATCAAAAGCAAAGGTAAATTTCATAGAACTCAGTAGAGAATTCTCACAAGCTTATAGTGAATTCTCACAACTTGATACAGATACACCAAAAGCAGCACACTTCTATTGGAAAGGGTAGATAAATAACATGCCAAGGAAGGAAAACCTCTAACCAACAAGGAAGAAAAAAAGAAAAAAGAAAATAGCCAAGCTTGAGCAATAATCATATCTATTGACACATCCTGGAAGATTGGAGTTAACTACCAAGTACATGACATCATTTATCAATTACTAAATCCAAAATATATATAAAATCATCTCCAAGTACATGAGCATACCCTATTAACTACAACAAAATGGCATATGAAGCCACATCCAAAAAACTCCAAAATATCATATTCTAAACCTTTAAACATTAAAGTTGGCTACTACATCCTGTATCCCTCATTTAATTAGTTGTAGGCAAGTCCTTCTGTTGTGGCCGGAATTCCCACAGATCTTACACTTGACACTTGTATTGGATCTTCTAACCTTGTTTGGAGGTAGAGGTTCATCTTGCTCTCTTCTTCGTTTCTTCTTTAGTCTACCTGGACGCTTGTGATATTTGGGGGGATTGATTGGTTCCAAGCTTGTGTGCTCCCACATCTCTTTTCCATTGATAGGTTGGATCACAGGAGCGTAACACTCCACATAAGCTTCAAGACTTAGTGTTGAATCCACATAATCAATAGGGTTTAATCGATTGGCATAAATGCAACTAACAGCATGCCTACAAGATAGAGAATATTAGTTATAAAGATTGAATAAATGAAACTTTGAAAGTGAGTTATAAAAAAACCTGCAAGGTATTCCAGTTAGTTGCCACCATTGACAAGCATATGACTTGGAACGAAGATCAACAATAAACCTTTGAGAGTTGTATGATACTTTAAATTGAGCATTATTAGCCCTCCTTGGTTCCCACTTTCTAGATTCTTCTATCTCTTTGTCAAGCCTCTTACAAGGTCGAGGGCACACAGATCTCTTGCCACGATATTTTTCTACTTTTACTCGATTTTGATGAAATCTATCCATCAAATAAGTTTGGATCCAATCAAGAAGACTAATAATTGGACGTTCTCTTGCCTCCAATAATCGACCATTAAAACACTCTGATATGTTATTCATAATCATATCAGACTTACAATAATCATCAAAATATGCCTTGGTCCAACAAGATGGAGGAAAAGTCATTGAGTGATCATATGCATTCTTTGAAATTTTTTTCAACTCATTCAATATTATTTCCCATGCCGATGGGTAAGTTTCCTTTGCTGCACGAATCACTAAGTCTCTCACTAAAGTTCCTCTACCATACCTTGCCTTTATATTGGCATACAAGTGTCTTACACAATAACGATGTTCAACACCTCCAAGCAACTCTCCAAATGCTTGAACCAAACCCTGCACATTAAAACTAATACCTATTATATGAACAAATAAATAGAAATATGATAATTAAAGTACTTTAGCTCTTAATTACCTTTTGTTGGTCTGAAATAAATACCTATTTTTTTTAGCCATGGTGCCAATATTATCAAACAAATTTTTCAAGAACCATGTCCAAGAATCCCTATTTTCTATCTCCACCACTGCCATAGCTAAAGGAAAATATTGCTCATTAGGGTCACGAGCTACAGCTACTAATAATATACCACCATATGGGCCTTTGAGAAAGCATCCATCCAATCCAATAATTGGCCTACATGCTGCCTTGAAGCCTCTTTTGACTGGTTCCAAGCACATATACAACCTTCTAAATACTCGCAGACGATCTACATATGGCTTATTTGTGACAAGACAAAATTTGGACCTTAGATCTTTCGACTTGACTTCTAAACAATAGTCCCTCAAGTAAGCATATTCTTCTTTATGATTCCCCTCAATTATCTCCCTTGCAATTTTTCTAGCCCTAAATGCTTTGTTAATTAAGGGTTGAGCCATGTAATCTTTTCTTATGGTTGCTTGCACATCTGACAACTTAATATCTTTGTTGATCTTGACATTGTCAACTATTGTTTTAGCAATCTACTCTGATGAAGCCCTCTTTGCATTGATTGTTACTCAGCATGCATGCCTTGGATTTAATGTCTTCAGTTGATAAGTCAATGAGTCACTTTCTTTGCTTACAAACATTAGCCAACCACATCTATTAGTGCATTTCACTCGACATCTCTCTTTATCATTTTTTATATAGTTAAATGCATAACCATTCAACAAAAAGTGCTCCTTTAGAGCATCCTTAAATTGTTTGATTGAAGTAAACTTCATCCCTAAACTAAATTTGAAGTCCTTACACATCTCATTTGGATTGTACTTGTAGTATCTTGTTATCGGCTTATCTTCATCTTCATCAATTGCATATTCTTCATATAACTCCTCATCTTTTAATTCTGATAACAAATCATCAATGTTCTCATCTAACACTCCAGAGAAAGGAATAATTTGTACATCTTCATGTTGGTGGTCTAACACATTTGAATAGCTACTACAACCTTGTCCCATACCATCCACTCTGTCAATGCCAATAAATTCATTGAAGTAATCATCACCCAAATTTGCTTCATCACTATCATCCAAGTATTCTAGCATTT